TACGTTTTTAATTAAATAAAACTATCTCAATGCTAGTTTATTTTAAGTAAGCATATATTTATTAATTTTAAGAGTTATAGTCATTACAGGCTACATAAATATATGTTGTGATACACTGTAGTTACAACCAAGGTTTAACTATTGTTACAGATACAATGTAATGCAAAATTAATACACAAAAAATGATTGTCAATGTCAAGGACTTTTTTGTGGTTTCACGTTTGTATAAATGCAAACAAAAACGTTAATTGCTTTCTACCGTGCAATTACATTTATCTACAAAAATTATCGTTTCCTCTTCGGGTCAAAGTCGAAAGAGAATTCATTAAGTTCACGCTAGAGGTATCAAAATTTAAACACAACCTTATCCTAATGAAAATAATTATCGTGGTTCAAAATTAATATCACAAAGCAGTTTTTGAGAGAAAAACTAAGGGAGCTTTTTTAAAAAAATAGTCTCAGAAGAATTAAAAAAGTTAGGTGATGACAGAAAACGGTAATTTGCAGAATAAATTGATTAAAGGGTTATATTAATTATCCAATCTAGCTCCCATATCAATTTAGACTAAAAACCATTTGGCAAATCAGAAGGTATAGTAAAGCTATCAGGGTTTTCCTTCTAATATACAGTAAATATATGATAAATAGCTTCTATACTATAAAGAATTCAGTTCACGAACTCGAAATACACATATCAGACCGAATATTCCTCCGAAGGGATAGTCAGGTACAGGCTAGGGACAACCGAAGGAATAATAAACGAATCCAGAAAAGTTGTAGATATGTGTGATATATTCTTGTGATTTTGTGTCGCCCTCTAGGTTTTCCCAAAGGAAAATAAAATAAATAGAAAAGTACTTAGTTATTCTACTTTCATTCAATTTCAACGACATTTGTTTTCTTAATTTCGAGCTTATTTATAATCAATAACCATAGAGTTTCCTTCTAGTGCTGGTGACTTAACTATAAACTCAACGATGACCTTCAAGTTCTTTAAAAGTCAAGTTAGTTTTATTAAATGGGAATTTCCTATTTCATATGTGTAAACTACGGAAAATTTCATATCCAACTATGCAAATGTCTCGTAGGTTCAAATGACACTTACGGATTATCAGAAAATGCAAAAACGATTGATATGTCGATAGCTTTATTAAATAGACTACTACTGATGACCCTTGAAGCTAAGGGGAAGCTCATAGGTTATCGGAAGTATACTTCAGTGTGGGATTCATCTGGCTTTATTTCTACTGGGTTAGAAAATAGGATCTCTTTTGAAATAAAAAACAACTTATTAAAATATTTCTTTACGTTGTGTTTAATTTGTGTCATCTCTTGTATTTAATCAACACTTGTTTGATAAATAAAATAATCAGTGCTGATCAGGGGCAAATAAGATTTCGTCTCTAATACGAGGTACAATGTATTGCTTATAAATCGTCGAGGTGAGTCGTACATAACGTCCCAAAAAAACTTAATATCACGAAAATACATAATTGTAAATAAAATAATAAATATTATAAGTATGTAATTAAAAGCGGGTAAAGATAAAAGAATAAATTAATAAATATAGTTGGAAACAATTCTAAAAATCACATGGTACATTAGGACAAATTGATTGATATATTTCGAATGATGACCTAAAAAAATTTTATGTTTCTAAAGGAAAAATAAAAAGAAAATGTAATGTTCCGTTTTTACTTTTGTTCTTTGAATTGTATTTTACCAAGAATTAACAGCTCCAGTTTTATACGTATGTATATAAATCCAAATCAAAAACAGGAATGAATCGCTTATAGGACTATAAACCGTAGAGAAAAGTACTAACATGAATTTGTAGTATGATATCAATGTCAAGGGTTAACACTCGATAATTTTGCAAAATCTTTCCGCCTCAGATATCACATACAGTAGGATCAAAGATTGTGAAACAAATTCGTTAAAAATGTGTTGATGAATTTTCTGGAAAGAGTGTTCGGTCGGCCAGTTTTATTTTTACTTTAATTTCATTTATTTTAAAAACTCCAATTTTAGTTCTTAAAAAATAAACGCCATATATATNACTCGAGTCGCTCATAGAGAGATTCTCATTTCGTATCCAGTCTCTGAACGAGAGACTCGAATCTCTAAAGAAGAGACTCGAATATCTCAATAAGTGGTGTCTCGATAGACATGGTTAAAATTTTATAAGTTGAACATATTTCAGAGATCCCAGTCTTTCTACGAGAGACTCGAGTCTCTCAATTTTTCAGTTTTATTCATTCAGTCTCTCTGTAAGAGACACGAATCCCTGAATTAACAATTTTATAGTGTGAGTCTCTCATACAGAGACTGTAAGAGATCCACAAAAACACCTAGGCAATAACTGAGAGATTGTTAGAGACGTTCTCAGAGACGCTTAAAGACTCTAAGAGACTGGAGAGAGACTGAAAATTTTTGTCTAGGGTACACTAGAATCCACATTTCCCATACAGGTTATTTTTCGGGATAGAAACTACTCAAACTTCTGTTTATTTCAGATTTGAAAGATGGAATTGTTCGTACAAAAAGTCCATCTTCAGGAAAATTTATCGCGAAACAGCTCTGCTATACGCAATGAGCGGAGCTGCGATAGCGTACTCTATAGCGAGAGCTTGCTCTGAAGGAACAATCCATAACTGTCGTTGTGCTCGACCAGAAAGTAACGAACAACCCCGACATCACTGGAAATGGGGCGGTTGTGGTGACAACACGAAACAAGCCAAAAAGATAACGGAAAGCTTTTTACAATTAAAACGGAAAAAGGAGAACGACAGTTTTTCGATAACACTGAATTACAACACTGAAGTAGGACTTGCAACCCTTTCAGAAGTCGAGATGAAAGTGTGTACATGTCATGGGGTTTCGGGTAGGTACAGATCAGTATTATTAAAATTTTATTTCTTGACACAAGTACAAATATATATACTCTTACATAATTCAAAACTCCGCGACAATATTATCAAAGAATATCTTTGACCTGATGTTTATAATTCCTCCACTGGTGCGTATGGTGTTACGTTGTTCATCACTTCTTGATCAGGGTGTGAAATTTTCTTTATTAAGTCATTTAACTATCATATTTATCGAGAGATAAATCCTAAAAGCTTCCAATTTGGACAAAGTAATACATATTTTTGTTTCATTAAATTTAAAAAGTCACCGCATAATTTTGAATTAAGCAAATCGTCTTGGGTTATATCAAGTGGAATGTCTGCGATTTTAAGTTTTATGTTTTATCGATATATCGAGATGAGTAGGTAAATAATCCGAGAGGGTTATCACATGGGTCAAAACTTTAATTACACTGGTCTTAGTCCGCCCGGAGTCATCCGTAGTTTCGTCCCTGTATTAAATAGGTATTTCAAATGTTGAAATTTAAGAGAACAACAATAATACATTACACGCCAAGGGAGGAAAGTATGAGGGCGAAAAACTCTCGGTAAAAGTTGTACCTTTTCCAGTTCCGTGATAATACGTATTAGATCCCTATACGACTTTTTACCATACCCGATTTAAGGGACTAGAAAGGGTAGCTCGACTGACAATTTCCACGCGGAGGATGGTAAAATCTTTTCCCAATAAGAATAAATACTATTTCTTGCCCGCTTTCGTCGCTGAAATATGGGAAAAATATTGTACTTTCCCTAAATCTTTCTTTAGCTAAGAAGCTAATTTTCTGGTAATTACAAAATTAGAAAAATTAAAATAATAATTGGATGATTTCATTGTCATAATCATTTCAAAAATGGAATGCTGCCAAAAAAGTATCGATAATTCAATCAATAAATTCTGAAATTGTTTACAGCTTCGTGTGTGATGAAAACGTGTTGGAAAAGACTACAGCCGTTTCCAAAAGTTGCCCAGAAGTTGAGAGATAGATACCATAGCGCGATCTTACCGTCGCCAGAGAACACTGTTAAGCAGAAGAATCTGAACAAAAGGAAATATAGTCGCAACCTGATATATTTCGAACAGAGCCCCACTTACTGTCAAGAAACTGTTGGAAGAGAATGTACTGATGCAGACAACTGCGCGACTCTCTGCTGCGGACGNGATCAGTTTTTTGCCAGCAAAGACCAAAAATTTTATGAGCGTGGAATTATGCTACTACCAGAAAGATGGCAAAAGGTGTTGGACCAGAACGGTCAATATATAATTTAATAAAGTATTTGTTTATTATACGAAAACTGTCTTTCATTTCCACAAAAAAAAAAACGAAATGACTTTCCGAACAACCCTATAGTACTTCTGTTCGTCCTTTCTCAAAAAAATAGTAATTAAAACCTTTTAAAAACACAAAAGGGGTATCTATTAGGATGTCTGAAATAGAATGATTTTTATTTCAAAATATCATGTACATATTTGTCTTTAATACCCTACGGCCTACATGTATCAATGTTGCGGATTTAACTTAAGAGTTATTATCTAAGGAGGTCTATCAAAATAGTATTTTATTTGCTAAATTAAAGACTTATGTACAAAGGAACCAATCATAACCACTTATAACACATTTAGTTACCTGATCAACGAAATTCGAGTTGATGAAGAAAAAAGTAATTAATTGCAGATTAAAAAACACAGGCAGACAAAGAAGAATAAATCGATTAATATAAGTACGTGCTTTTCAAGTTTAAAATTACTTGATGAAAACTAAAATTGAATCTCCCTTGCTTAGTAATAATATCAATTGCCCACGCATCTATACAAATATTAAAACCTCGTTATTGTTTGTATATAGGATTGCAAAGGGTAGAACCAATAATAACAAAAAAAGGTTTGAATACTTATAAACGTTGTATAGTTTGGATATTTTATTCGAAACTGCCGGCTGACTCGTGACTGCCTCTCCTTAGGCTTAACGACCTTTTTCTGCTAAAAGACTGAAATCCTTTGAAATCAATAACGATGGCGCCGGCGCTTGATTGCTCACGATTTTGACTCTCACCAACAGCAGTTCAGAACAGAAAAACCTCGGTCAGGTGTCGAAAAGTCCTTTAACGATGCTTTGCACTTTTCATTTTCTTTAGTGAAAACACCACTTCACTTAAAACTAACATTAAAAAGCATCTACTGTCTTTTTATTGTGCTCTCAACCTAATCGAAATGCATTCTCCTTTCTTTCATATATGAAATAAACTTTTTTGTATTAGTTCTTTCTTTTCGCAGTTTTCTTACTCTGGGTGCACCATCTACAATGTTTTGCGATTTTAATTTGTCTTGTTCTTACAATAATATAAAGTTTTTTACGGTTAAATCAGTACTGTAAAATACGCAAGGTGGTGAGGAGTAAGATTTGGTTGAAACCAGGTGAGTGAATTTCCTTGCACTCATGATATTTTTATATTAATTTAACGATAGCTTTATAATTTGCACAGTTAATTAAAGTGACTCAATTAATTATTTAAAATCCAAGCGCTACTTCTTCAAATCGAAACTGAGTATAGGTAACTTTATAGGATAACTAAAACTGATGTAACAGATTAATTAACAGTTAAACGTAAACTTTTGTATTTTTTTTATTTTATTAAAAAAAGGTATACCTATTTTTCTTGTGAATAAATAAATAGAAATTATTAATTCAAAGTCTCGAGACCCCTTACTAATACTGAATTTATGAGGAGTTACAAGTAATACTGAACCAGAAACATTACAAACCAAAATAGATTTGCAATAGTCTTAAAGCTTGTTTGAAATTGTAA